TGATATCGAAAATGAAGAGTGATAAAAAGCAGTCATGATCGAAGAGAACTGTACTGAAATGGAATCGAGGAAATTCCACTAGAAAAGAATGAGGTTTTAAAACGTGCCAATACTCGGACGACTGTTGATCAATGCAGTAAGATGAAAGTTTACAAAGTGCATAATTATGCTTTACAGATCATGCTGGGTGTCGTCTGGCCTGACAAACATGTCGCATTCCCAGATTTCTCATCATCAGCTACAATCGCATGGTGGAAGAGTGAATTCAAAAAATTCCATCAGCGGGTGAATCAATCAAATATATTTTGATTCGCTATTTCCTCATTGAATTTAATCTATTTCGGCTATCCGCATTTCACTGATCATTGTGTTGCTTTGAGCGCTTTTGGCGCTATTGATTATAACTTCAGTAGCGTAGTTCATCTTGAAATTGTTTGCTCTGTTCAAGGTGAAATTCGACGGAATTTGGATCGATATGAATGAACCAGCCAACTTCGGTACTGATGAAACGCATCCATGGTATTTCGACTCTGCGGATCATCCGAAACTTAAGCCATTAATGTGTCCGTTGAATGGAACGCAATCAAAGTACGATATGCCACCGTACGAAACATACAATGTTTATGTTTGGAGAACTGATCAACAAAAGGTGTGTGAGAATTTGAGAGAATCAAGCAGATGATTGCGTTTTTTTTAAAGTACAAATTTCATCGGAAGAACTCATCTTAGTTTATGTAACGCAAGAAATGGGCGACAGATTAGGCAAGTTAAGAAAAGAAATACACTTTCGTGAATTCCGTTCACTTATTCCCTAATTCAGAGTTATCTATCGTCCAAAACATTGTGTATGTTGGGAACAACGACAACGGGTCGAATGTACGACACGAAGAATTTGTATGGACTCCAAGAGAGCATTGCAACGCAATCGGCTCTTCACGAAAGTACTTCAAAGCGTGGAGCTGTCATTACAAGGTTTATATATGTTTGTAACTATAAATTTGCCACAAAAAATTCCATCATTATACATTCAGATTGTTTGACTGAAAAAGTTAAACAGTTCGAACATTACGTTCACAAACTTCTTAAGAATGTATCTGATAAACTGTAGTTTTACAGTGATGAAATATCATTCGTTTTTCATATGCTATATGCTAATCTTTTGCGCCATTTCATTTCACACAAGTGAAATCGTTCATTTGATTGCAACTGAACAAGGAAGCCAAGTTTTGAAAAAAGAATGCAGTGTACAATTGCCGTGAAAGAAATTGTACGTGCCCATCACGAGTGTAAATTATCAGTTCTGAGGATGCGTGCAATAGTTGATCATAATGTGATCAAAAGATCACACTCGTGCTCTCCTCTTTCAGATCATCTTTCCCATCCGGAGGTCGTTATGCTGGTCATTGGCTTGGTGACAATTCGGCGACGTGGTTCGACTTACAGACATCGGTGGTCGGCATCCAGTTATTCAATATGTTTGGAATACCATACATCGGCGCTGATATATGCGGATTTTTGGGCAATACAACGGCACATCTTTGTTTACGTTGGCAACAACTCGGAGCGTTCTATCCATTTTCGAGGTATGCTTACCAGCTGCTGAAACTCTACAGAAAGTTAACGCTATCCGAAGTTTCATTGAACCGCATGTGATACAATCAGGAACCCACCGCAATTATGGAAGCAGTGTTTTTCTGATTTTTTTNTTTTTTTCAGGAATCATAACGATAAAGCTGCATTGCCACAACATCCAACTGTCTTCAGTGACGTGGCCAAAGCAACGAAACAAGCGATGCTCTTCCGATATCGTTATCTGCCATACTTATATACGTGAGTCTGCTTTAAGTGAAGTAATATAACCTGCATTGCTTTGAATTAGAAGCACATGTTAGATGATCACCATAATGTTCGATGTCAATACTTGCAGATTACATTTTGAAGCATCAAGAAATGGAAGTACGGTAGTGCGTCCGTTGTTCTTCGAATTTCCAAATGATGATGCGGCACATGAAATCAATGGGCAGTTCATGTGGGGTTCTGCAATGCTTATTGTACCTGTTGTAAAAGAGGTTACTCATTCAGTAAAATATTCATGTACCGTAAATACTTCATTATTCAAATCCATAAAAATTACGGCATCACTGCAACATTTATCGTTTCTTCTTGGTAATTATGACTCAGGTATGTTCTTTCTCATGCTGAACGCGAATGATAAAACAGTCCATCTGTTTTGTTGCAGAATGCAACTACTGTGTACGCTTACCTTCCACATGACGCTCGGTGGTTTTCCATGTTAGATAGTCACGCAGGAGAGAAATTCCAGTGCGGATTCCAATTTTTGTCAGCACCGCTCACCGACTTGATTCCAGTTTTCATCCGAGGTTGATGGATTATCTTCTTCGAGTATTTTATTGCTCTTGCAGTAGATTGATTTGCTCAACGTGATCACTCTACAGGTGGATCAATTGTCCCTCGTCAACCTCCAGCTCTTACTGCGATGGAGTCTCGTAAAAATCCGCTCGAAATTCTCATCGCTGTTGGTCAGTTTCAATTTTTGTGGAGCAGCAAATTTGAAAACTGATAATTTGTAATCGTTCGAATTTAGCATTTGACTGCCATGTGTTTTGAGTTGGAATGTCTGACTGCCTCTTGCTAGCTTATAAATGATGGATGCAAAATGCGCGATTACGCGACGTCATTTCAGATCAAAAGGGTCTAGCTAACGGACAGTTGATATGGGATGATGGTGAGAGCATCATAAATGATTTCATGACGCATATTTATATCGATGTCAGATTCAGCTTCATAATAGCAGACGATAAAACAACACTCGTGATCGAAAGGATTACTGGAACAGTGAGTTAGGACTCAGTTTGCTGGGAACTTTGCGTGACAAAAGTGGTGCTTTCTGAAAATTGCTTGCTGGAGAAAGATTCCAATCCTGGAAATTTCTGTTTGTGAGCATATTACTCGGGAATTTTTTATCCTTCCGTAGATGATTATTCAAATGGCTCCAAAACAATTGGGCCGGAGCTCAGATTGCACTAGGAATTCATGAGAAACTTGACTGCTCAACAGTCATAAGTTGAACTCAGCGGTTAGTAAACTCTATGGTTACATTGGCAAACGTTCAGGTTTGCACCAGCATTCATGCTCGAACTGCAGCTTATTTCAGTTTGAAGAAAATTTTAAAATGTTGACCTTTCATCAGAAAACATCGAGTAATATTGTAGGCAACACGAGGTATTCCAAGCATCTCCGTTGTTGAAATATTCGGTTATGATGCGCTTCCGGTGTTACTGACCATCAAGAAAGAACCAGGCAAGATCGTCGTTGATGAATCGGAAACAAAATTCGATCAAACCAAGCAACGCCTTCAGATCAAGGCGAATGCCTTCTTCGATTTCGCAACAGATAAGAAAGTCACTATCACGTGGGCTAGTCACAGGTAAGTAACAGTTCACTGCTTGATTCTGTCTACAGTTGTTCGTCGTCAAGTAACGAATGAAGTGTTGCTTATGAGCTAAGCGCAGACTGTTCACATCCAACCGTGCTTTCGTATTCATTTGAATTTATTGGGATGTAGAAAAATCAGCTTAGAAAATCTATCGGTGATGGTTTAGAAGAATCTTCTCTTTATCCTCAATGCGCTTTTCTAACAATTTCAGGTGGTCTTCGTTCGTTCCCCAAAACGCTCGCGTCGATTGCATGCCTGCTCCAACACCGCAACCCACCGAATTACGTTGCTATAATTACGGTTGTATTTTCGACGGAACCGCGAATGTTAGAGTTTTCTTGAATCGTTCAATAGGAGAACACCATGAGCGCTCTTATCAGTCATTATTATTGTAAGACGACGATAGTGGTGAACTGTGAAATATATATTCAAATTGGAGTGTAATCTTTAAAGTGCTGATATTCAAATTGGAGGCAGTACTCATAGTAATTTCATCTAAACTGCTCCAGTTGAGCGTTGATGAACGAAGAAATGAATACACTAGATTTTCACAAGTTTCTCAGCTTCTCATAATATCAGAGATTAACGGAATTGCAAGAAAACGTTGAATAGAACAAATCGTTTGTGAACAAAACCAAATTTCAGGGTGGTGTTCCAAAGTGTTATTTCCCTAGGAAGAGTGGTTACACATCGAAGGATGGTTCAACGTTGACCAGCTATAAACCTGTAAAAAATCCATATGGTGTAAATGTCTCTCCGATCTTCATATCACAGGAATCCTTCCAACAAACAACACTCCATCTATTCATTGGACCTGATACGGGGTGAGAATTTCACTCGAATTTGTTTTATCGACACGAAAAGGCTGTCGTTTGCTGATATCTATATTCAAGTGCGAATTATCGCTCATTCTGAAAGAGAATATGATATATGCATTTCGATTGTTTCAAAATGCAAGGAGTATCCATTTTTCGAATGATCGCTTCCACTTCCTTTGGTATCTCCAGAACTCTTCAAAAGCATGTCCGAACAGTATGCAATGGACGGAATTCTACTGCCAAAATATCAGACCAATTTAATTCAGAAAATTGTCGCAGTTCAGTTGATATTTCCTTTCGCATGATCTGTCGACAATCTGCATTCACAGTTCAGGGACAAATCTTTGTTTGCAGCTATGTGCCACCAATTCAAATCAGCGGTCAATCAGTTCCAACTGGCGAATGGTTCGTTGTTGAGAGCTCCAATGAGACTGGCGTTTTCTCGTTCAAAATAATAAGGCCATCGACAAATGCGGTCATCTGGGACACATCATTAGGTTACAGTGATATCGAATTATTGACTCACAATCTGTATTGGCTAAAACAAGTTTACCAAGTTTGGCTAAAAATTTCTCTCCAGAGGGGTATTGAGTTGATATCAGCAGCAAAATAGATTATTATGTCTGGTTGATTAAATATCTCGACTCATCATTTTATGACACCGAGAAAGTGTGTGATAGGGTGCAGCAGTCATTTCAGTCGCAATTAGGCTGCATTAATTGGAGTTTGTGCTTGATAGAACTCATTTGAAAATTCGGATTAGTCAATGGAAAATTGGTGACTAGTCATTCACTGGCTGCTATTATCGTGATTAATTCATCATTGGAAATAAGAAATCGGAAGAAGTGAAAAATCACAAGTAATGAAATCACAATACCGATACACATCGTAACTGACGAATGAAAATTTCATTGTGACGAGAAGAACGATCTTTTGTAGGTGGAATGATGTTCTCAGAACAGTTCATTCAAATCGCTGCTCGAATTCCTACATCCGATGTCTACGGTTTGGGTGAAAATGTTCAACAACAACTGAAGGTACAATCATTCAGTAGTGATGTAGCGCTACTAATAAATTAGTAATCCTGAATTTTTCAAGTCTTTTCAAGAGACATCCAACGATTATATTTCGATGAATAATCAGCCCAGTGGAGGTGGCTAAGAGGATGCGATAAGACTCAAGGTTCACTCGAGTTTTAATATGAAGTAATCGCATTGCAGCACGATATGAGCACCTATACGACATGGCCAATGTTCGCACGCGATGAACCACCAGATTCACAGCCACATCCAACCGATCCGAATGATCGATTCAAAAAGAATCTTTATGGTGTTTATCCATTCTACATGGCATTTGAAAAAGACAACAAAGCACACGGTGTTCTTATACTGAATGCGAACGCTCAGGTTATATTTAGTTCATCTTTGATTAGATAACGCAAGGTGGATAATTCTTATGAGCTGAGTAGGTTAGATCATACAATCCGCAGGTTGTGTTTTAGGAAATGGTACTCGGTCCAGCTCCACACATTGTTTATCGTACGATCGGTGGTGCGTTGGATTTGTACTTCTTCCCTGGACCTTCTCCAGAAGACGTTGTTCGACAGTATCTCGCGCTCATCGGAACACCAGCACTTCCTGCTTATTGGGCGCTTGGATTTCAGGTTCATTTTTTTGACTTGGTTCGACATATTGATATTTCCACGACGATTCATTGTTCATTACTCACCGAAACTGTTTTGGATGAAAATTTCGCATTTTTCAAGTTTTCAACTCTCAAAATGCACGCATTGAGATAATCCTGGAGCTCAGTTCATGACTGTTTTCCTTAACGTGCATATATTATGCATGTTACAATGGACGAAATCAAATGTTGATTCCTTTTTGAGCGTGGCTATGATCAGTTGGCAATGTTTTGATGCCTCTTCTAATCTGGTATTGATCTTTTGGGTTGTTTTAAGCTGTCTCGCTATGGGTATAAAAATCTGCAAGAACTCTCGACCGTAGTAAACGAAGTTCGAAGTGCCCATATACCGTTGGATGTTGCCTATGCAGATATCGATTATATGAATAGATATCAGGATTTCACCATTGGAAAGGTATGGACTGTCTAATTTTTGGGTGTTTCACAAAGCAACGAAATCCTGTTACGTTATTTAGTACTATGGACAAACAGCCTCGAAGAAAAAATTTCCAGTTCAACTTCTGACGTATCTCTATGGTCCTTTTTTCAAAAAACATTCAGTGGTTACTCGGCGAGCAATAAAATAATCACCACGATTCGACTGAGTGGCGATGAATAACTTTCGATTGAATGATTAACGATGATTTCTCATCGACTAGTGCAGAAATTTTACCAACGAGAATATTACTGAGAATCATGACAATTATTTGCAGGGATGGGAGAAATTCCCAGAGTATGTGAAGCAATTACATGACGAATCAATGCATGCCATTCTAATCTTTGACCCAGCCATTCAAGCAGATGGTGCTGTTATCGAAAGAGGACTTAACGCGGTTAGTGATCCACTTCTGACATACCTCCATGGTCCTTTTTTCGAACATTTAGTGAGTACTCGGTGAGCGACTTTTTTTAAACCAGTTCATTCCATTCACGAATGTGATACCGCCAATTAAATTTCTAATCTAATTCTGAATAAAAACTCCATATCACAGAAAGCGAATTTCGTCGAATGGGAACGTGCAGATCAAGTTCAACGCCAAATACAGGATCTTTATCCACTTATGAAAGCAACCAAAGTAAGTTTCATCGAATTCATCATTCAAATGATCCCAAGCATTGAAAAGCTCCATAGATTAATTAACGTTCTGAAATTCTCTATTCTTAAAACATTAAGTGATTCAAACAGATTACGAATTATGTGATATTTTTGTTGATAGTGGTCTTCATTATCTAACTCATTGCATCTATTTGATATGTGCCAGTGCTTCCGTGATGTAGTGATGTGTCCACATTTAGATAATGCTGGGTGTTGTTTGGCCTGATAAACACGTGGCATTCCCTGATTTTTCATCTCCAGAAACAATGAGATGGTGGAGTGATGAAATTAGTCGATTCCACAAACAGGTAACTTTCTTCAATACAACAAACTCTTTGTAATTTTAAGATGGTTTCAAACTCATTAACACTAGTAAGCACTCAATAAGTGTTAATGTTCCTGCTACCATCATTGCCTCACATCGCTGCACTTACTATTTGAACAGATTTTCGTGGCTTGCAAATGAATTCGGACGGACGCTTTTCAGATCGCTTTTGATGGTATATGGATCGACATGAATGAGCCTGCCAACTTTGGTACCAACGAGAAACATCCATGGTACTTTGACAATCCAGATCATCCAAATCTTGCACCATTGATGTGCCCGTTGAACGGAAGCGACTCAAAATATGATAATCCACCATATCAGACGTATAGCGTCTACAAATACAGATTGTGGGGCCAGGATGTAAGTGGAAGATATTTTCCAACCTTTACTTCCATGAACAGACATCAAGGATATTGAGTGCATGGACTTTATTCTCGAAAAAATTGCGACGTTGTCTTTCTGCTTGTCTTTGATTCATTGAGCGATCAATTTGTTCTGTCGTCGACGAGAATTTTGCGAATGCTCTTTGGTATTATCAGATTAGATGAAATTATCCGTCATCAGAAAAATTATAAATAATCTCAAGTCTATTAACAAATAAACATTGGATTTGATAAAAATAATCAACTTCCAAACATTTAAGGCGTATCTATCATCGAAAACGTTGTGTATGTTGGGTACAACGAAAATTGGAAAAATGTACGACATGAAAAACATGTACGGATTGCTGGAAAGCATCGCCACTCAGAAGGCACTTCATCAATTAATGTCAAAACGATCAGTCGTCATAACGAGGTGAGGTCGTCGAAAAGTAGGCTCTTGATAGCTTGAAACAGAATGGACGAACAAACTTTCATTCGGAAGGACAGTCGACGAAGAAAAAGCAATCAAGGAGTCGAATTCAAACAATTGAAATGTGAATAATCTCAAAGAGCCTTTAAATTATAGATCATCATTTCCTTCCGGAGGTCGTTATGCAGGCCATTGGCTTGGTGATAACTATGCTGCATGGAATGATCTACGCACGTCGGTTGTTGGTATACAGCTCTTCAACATCTTCGGTATACCGTACATTGGTGCTGACATATGCGGATTCGGTGGGAATACCACTGAAGAATTATGTCTTCGTTGGCAACAGCTTGGAGCATTTTACACGTTCATGCGGTACTTTTTCGACGATCTTTTCAAGCGAGGAGCATAATTATGAATCGCTGTCATTGAATCATTATTGATACGATGAAAACCAGATGTAATAAGTAAATCATCACTTGCGTTATGCGCAGCGTAATCAAAATGCTTTGGAAGCAATCGTATTTCCGTTAGTTTCACTTAATAGCGAAAGCAATCGACTGAACTGAGTAATCAATTTTTAGAGTTGGTTGTGGATTCTGTGGAGAATTTGATCAGTCTTATGTAGTTTCCAATAATGCTCTAAAGAATGCTCGGAATATAGGATGAAATCATTGGTTCATTTCAGAAACCATAATTCGATCAACTCCTCACCGCAACAACCTTC